GCTGTTGTTGCCATGGCCTATGATGAACAGAATCAAGCAACCCAAGAAGAAGCAGAACAGAAAGAGGCTGAATTTCAGCAGATGCTTGAACAGCTGAAAAAACAACAAGAAGAAGCTCAGGTAGCTTTGTGAAAGAAAGGCTCAAACTTCTAATGTATTTTTTGCTCACTTACTGTTTTATAGCCAGCACTGTATTAGTAATAGAAAACATGGCATTAGGAAAGAAATAGGTTATTATGCTTGAGACAGACATTGAAGAATAAATCTCTCAAGAAATGTTTAACTTGAACTTGGTAATGAAGTTTCAAAAGAAAAAAAAAGAAAAAAAATCAGTATCAATTATGCAAGCAAGACTGCATTTCCTATCATAAGTTGTTTAGCATTGTTCAAGGAATGACTTTAATTCTGCTTGTCTGTGTACCTTGTAATTATAAATATGCTAGATAGTATTAGATAGAGAGTGAAAAGCCTAACTACCATATTTATCCAAATCCAAGATGCCATCAAAATTAAGATGTTCCCCCAATTATTAATTTCTAGATAATAGATTCTAGATATAGAAAATGATAATTTTGTTTTAATTTTCCACAGCTAGAACCTAGTTATTGGAGGGTCCTCTTAAATTTCTCTCCCCCACCACTGCTGCAGGGACAGTACTGTTAAGGAAATTGATGCCCCATGCCCCTTGTCCCTCCCTTGTCATTCCCTTTCTGCTCTACTGTGCATGCCCCCCTATTACCTGTTCTCTCCAGTGCCTTCCTCTCCTGCCACTTGTCCTCCTTTGGTGCCTGCCCCCTTCCCTGCCCCCCACCCCTTATATTTTTATCCACTCTGGTTCTGTCCCGACCAGGAGCATGGCATCCCCGGCCAGGCCAAGCAATAGCTGCAGCTCTGGCTCCAGCCTCGGTCAGGGTTGGGGCCAGAGCTGCAGCAGCTCCCCCCATGGGTTCCTTCCCCCATGACCACCTTGGTCCACATGTCCTTTTCCCCACGCTCCTTCCCTGTGCTCCCCTCAACATGCTCTTTTCCCCCATGCTCCAACCAGCACTGCATGCCCTTTTCCCCACCATCCTGCCTACACTATGCCCCACTTTCCTATGTTCTTTCCCCCACACTCTTCCTTGTACTACATGCTCTTTCCCCTGTGCTCCCTCATATACTGCATACCCTTTCTCGCAGACTCTGCCCCCACACCATGTGACTCCTTCCTAAATGCTCCCCCTGCTGCATGCACCCCTACCTGCTGCCCCATCCAGAACTGCCATCAGCTGCTTGTCTGGCTCCTAGTCGAATCTAAAATAGGGATTTTTTTCCTTTGCTAAATGGGTAAAAAGATCTTATCTTAGATTCAAGCCAATATGGTAAATTATAAGCAAATTTTTTGAACTATAGCCTCTACATAAGATTTTAGTTCGTTTTCACTATGTGGGAAGGAGGGAGTGCTCCTTTTCTCCCCTTTCCCTATCCTTTATTTAAATGCCCTTGTTCCTTTCTATTTAGTACCCCTGCTTGATAGAAATCCATGCAGAGCATCTGATAAAGTAGTCTAGCACAGGAGTGAACAAAATATGACCCATGGGCCACATCCAGCCTTCTAGGTGATTTCATCTGGCACATGGGCAGGTGCCCACCAATTAATTGTATCCAGCCTAGCCCACAGCCTGCCCTGCTGTGCCCTGCCTAGGGCTCAGCTTTGCTCACTTCTGCCAAGGCAGTGTGCTATGCTCCCACCCTTGGGCATGTGAGGCCCTGGTCAGCACATAGTTTCAGGGCAGGGCTGCTGCTCAGCTCCCCTGGCCTCCAGTGGCGGCTCCTCCTGTCCCTGCTGCAGCACTCCAGGCAGCAGGTAGGAAAGTGGAGGTGAGTGGAGAGAAACTGTAGCTGGGTGAGAGTGTAGAGTGTGGGGTCAGGGCAGCAGGAGCATGGAGGCTGGGTTGGCCCAGCTCCATCGTGTGGGGCTTCCTCCCACTGGAGTCCCTGGAGATGCATGTGATGGCAGCAAATGGAGCTAAGGCATTGATTCCATTGTGCACCACCTCCCCCCGCCCCACCCCCCATGGTGTGTGGCTCTGGCTGGGTTCCGAAAGCTGCATGCAGAACACAGGTTGCCCTGTGAGGTGGAGGTGGGATGGCTTGGCTCTGCTCCCTGCCATAATGTGCAGATCCCAGAACTGGACAGAGCTGTGTGCCACCAGGGGCCTCTGCCTGCATGAGCCATGAACACCCCAAGTACCTGCTGCTGCTACTGCTGCCAGGAACAGGAGCTGTGCATCATGGGGGAGGGGTGTGGGGCCCCACATGCACACCCTGCCATACCCACACCCCCCCACGTCCCACAAGAAACTCCCCATAGACTCGCCACACCCTCCCACAAACCCCACAAACACACAGCCCACACATGCACACTTACCCCAACCATACCCCACACACTCCCCCACACACCCCATGCAAGAATAAGACTTTATTTTGAGCTATTTTGCAATTGCCTCTATATACACTATACAAACACACATATATCAGGACAAAAAATATTTTTTTAAATAAAATTAAAATATTTTATAGTAGATGTTTGATTTTTAGTATATGATTTGGATTTTTTCCAGTTCCAAGATGGCAATCCCCCCCCCCCCCCAAGGAGTACTTCCAAGGGTAAGGGGAGGGACTTCCAGTGACAAAGTTCAGAGGTTAGGGACAGGACTTCTGGTCCCAAAGTGGCAACCTCGGGGTGGTACACCTGTCAAGGAATAGGGCTACCCTTGCGGCCCTTGACACCTCACTAAAACTCATTAAGTGGCCCTCCAGAAGAAATAATTGCCCACCTCTGCTGTAACATGTGCTTCTCTGAGTTAGTCTGTGAGGTGCCACAGTGCTTTTCCTTCTTCTGGATATCATTTAGAACAGGGGTGAGGAATTATTTTAGCTTAATGCGTTGTGGTGAGCTGTCAAAGGCTGCAAGTGTGGCCCTGACTCTTGTCAGGTGCCTCGCCCCCTGGAAGTCAGCTGGCTCCTTTGTGCAGGACTTCCCCTGGTGACGCATGAGTGCTGAGAGCTGTACGCATGTTGCAGGCAGCCCTGCATGATAGAGGTGGGGTGGCCTGGCTGCGCTCCTTGCTGCCATGTGCAGTGCTGGCCAGAGCTGCATGCTGCTAGGTGGCTGCACCTGCTCAGGCCATGAGCATCCTGAGCACCTGCTGCCTGTTGCTGCTGTTGCCGCTGGCAACAGGGGCTGTATGCCATGGAGGTATGCCCCACACCCTTCCTCACACCCATATCCTGTCCAGCTAAGGTCCATGCTCCTGATGCCTCCCTGAGCATGGGCTCTGTGCTCCCGCCAGGTCCATGCTCCCATCCAGCTGCAGCTCCCTCTCCCTTTGCCTCCACCCTTGTAACTTCATACCTGCTGCCCAAAGTGAGTGCTACATCAGAGAGATGAGGAGGAGCCACTGGATGCCAGGGAAGCTGAGCAGGTCTCCTGGCAGCTGCAACAGTGGCAGCAGCAGCTCTGCCCAGAACCTATGTGCTGGCTGGGCTGGGCCTTTCCATGCACGAGGGTGGGAGTAAGGCATGTGGGCTGGGCAGGGTACAGTTAGTTGGTGGGCACCCGCAGGCTGTATGAAATTGCTTGACAGGCTAAATCCAGCCCATGGGCCATATTTTGCTTTCCCCGATTCAGAACATAAAAAAGGTTAACAGAGGCAAACTTTGTTTAAGAACAAAGCTTTGAAGTAATGTACATTCATAATTATTTAATGCACGATTAATTTGATTTTAAAACTAATATATTTATTTAATTTTCAAATGACTTTTTGCTGAACTTTCAGGTAAAGATGCTTCTATTTATCTCACAAAACAGAGATTGATTTTATGATTTAAATGTAAATCAGAACTCAACCTTAACTATAGAATTGCCGCTAACACATCCGTGGCATCTTGTGTTCCATGTCCTGCTATCCTTGAGATTGCATTTGAAGACTTACATAAAAGGAGTAGGAGTTGGCCCTATACATAAAAGTCATTTGGAGTACATTTATGGTCTCTAGAAATAGTTTTTTTTACTACTTAAGTAAAATCTTATTGTTTTATAGCATTTGCTAATTAAATATATTTGATATTTGTTTTTAACAAAAATGTTTAACCCCTTGCTACAACAGGCAATAGCAGCAGCTGCATTTGAAATAACAGATTTCAGTGGTGAAGGTAGGATTGGTAGACTTTCGGAGAGTTCTTCAGAAGCATCAAAGTTGAGCTCAAAGAGTGCTAAAGAAAGGAGAAATCGAAGGAAGAAAAGAAGACAGAGAGAGCTGTCTGCAGGAGAGGACCAAGTGAAGGATGGAAAGCTTCCAAAATCTGAATCAGATGGCAGTATCAGAAGAAAAGGTTTCCATTTCTCATTAGATGGGAACAAGCTCACATATGAAAAGCGTTTGACTTCACCCCATCAGGTAGTGTTCTGGGTAGTGAAAATGATATTTTTAGCATCATAGTTTGACATAGAAATTATGGTAATATGCACCAATTGTTTTGTGATTTTGCTTAATATTGCAAAAGAAGACAATTGAAGGCAAGAATCTGCTTTTGTTACTTAAGTAAACTGCAGCATTCACTAAAATAATCTGAATTAAACAACAATTTAGTATCTATATTATAAGTATGGGTAGTCATTGGCACTGAAGTTAGCATTACCACAGATAAAAATCTTCTTGCCTCTGCCTTCAGCTATCTGAAGAGGATAGTCCAGGAATCATTCTTTCTTGCACTTCTCAGGTCTGACTGGTCCGTAGATGATGCAAGTTATAGTACATGTAAATAGTATGTTCCAGTTATCAGTGTTTTCTTGTATATTTAACTAAAAAGTCCTTATGTAAGCTAAACAAATTATAATATGTATACAATGTACAGAAATCTTACATTACTAAATAAACAGAGTAACATTAAAAGTATTGCCATAGAGAAATGTAGTCACCCCAAAAATAATGATTTCTGATGATTGTGAATATGTTCTATGTGTGTGTTTCCCAAGCTTAAATTCTTTGTTTATGAAAGCGTCTTGTGTGAGAAACATTTCTAGGTCATGGTTTTATTGAGACATACATGCTTTGTACTTAAAGATAATGTATATTTTCAGCTAATAATATTATTTATATCTTTCTGCAGTCTTTGCTGAGCATTCGTGGTTCCATTTTTTCTCCAAGGCGCAACAGCAGAACAAGTCTGTTCAGTTTCAGAGGTCAGGGAAAGGATATAGGATCAGAAAATGACTTTGCTGATGATGAGCATAGCACTTTTGAAGATAATGGAAGTAGAAGAGGTTCCCTCTTTGTGCCATGCAGGCATGGTGAACGGCGCAACAGTAACATTAGTCAGGCCAGTAGATCATCAAGGAGGTTACCAATGCTTTCAGTGAATGGGAAGATGCACTGCACTGTGGATTGCAATGGTGTGGTTTCCTTGGCTGATCGACAACCTTCTCTTTTGTCACCTACTGGACAACTTCTGCCAGAGGTGATAATAGATAAAGCAACTAGTGATGACAATGTAAGGAATTTTTAAATAGTACAGGCATAATGGCCTTTGTTCCTGCACCTGCCAGTGTTTCTATGGAATGGAGCCCCTTGAGAACGGTTGGCCAAGCTGTGAATGTTTCTGCATCTTGCAGTACCTTTTAATATAATCAAATAGATTTTCTAGGAAAATATAATTGTGTATAATGCTATTATATTTACTTGCAAGTATACTGAACTAACAGGCTGAAATACAAAAAATACTGAACATGCAGTATATGACCATTTGCTACTTACCTGTGCAGTAGGGATATGCACAGACTTGTATACTTAGTTCTATGAATCATATACTCTTCTTAGATGTGCTTCTCATTTGGCTTCCTAAGTAGTGTATATATCTTTTCCTTCTCCTTTTTATATTATTTCAGTTTACTGCTTTCATCCAGAAGCCTCCACTGTCTCCATTTTCTGGCAGTCTTCTACCAAAGCCTATTGCTTTGTTTCCCCCTTCCCCATGTCTATACACAGATTTATTTGTGTGTAAATGAGGCTACCCTGCAAGTCTTTAGGCATCATTTGAGAGTTCCTGAAGTTTTAGCAAATCTATTCTGTTCTTGGACATGGTCAGAGGTTTCACTGCCTAGAAGCATTTCAGAATATGTTAATATACACTTCATGCTCACCCCCAATGTTGATGACTTTTTGTAGAGGAGAAAGGCAGTGAACAAAAGGACATGGTATACATGTTCACAAGAACCAAGAGAAAACTCTGTGGGCATGGCCAGTGGTGACATGTAGGGGGTGCATGTGCAGCCCCTAAGAGCACTGGTGCACCTCCTCACAGGCAGTGCTTCTCACTTAGGTGATGGGCAGGGGGACAGGCGGGAGCGCCAGTGCTGTCCCTGCCAGCTCCGGTCAGGGAGTGGGGGCACCAGGTGAAATGCCACTGGCACTTCCAGGAACACCACTCATGCTTCCTGGTTGGTGCGATCAGCCACAGGGGGATCCCACCTCCCCTGGTTGGCATGAAGGGCCACAGGGGGCATGTGCCCCCCCTGAATCAGGTAGCACCAGTCGTCCATAGGCGTAGCTACACATGCATTTATTTTACTGTGCAGTAAGCGGGAAAAGGCCAGCATCTACACGTGCAAGTGATAAAGCTCATTAGTGCTGTGTGTGGTCTAACTTGGGAGTAAAGTTTGCCCCAAGTCAGTCCACACACACAGTGTTACTGCTCAGTAAGGTGTCTATACGTGCATTACTATACAGTAACTAATCAGGCGTAAATTTGATATCTGCAAGTATCAAATTTACGTTCACGTCATTGTAAATCACCATATTTACTGTGCAGTATGGGCATGAACATGCAGACGTGTGACCGTACTGCACAGTAATTTTGGTTACTGTGCAGTAAATGTGCATATATAGCCACACCCAGTATGTAGCAGCAGCACCAGCATCTTACTCATTTTCCTGTAGCACTATCACCATCTTGTAAAAGCCAGGTAGGAAAAGTTAATAAGGCAGTAAAAGCCCCACAAAAGAAGAAGGCTTTGAGCTACGCATATGTTGTAAGTGAAGAGACTTAAGATCATGATTAGTTAGGAGCACCTAATGATGAAATCTAACAGAAACTCCATCCCATACACCAGAATCTGTGCATATCCTTATGAAGCACCTGAGCTACATACTGAAACAGATAAAGTTGGGAAAATCTGTTCTCTCTTTCAGATCTGATTTCAAATAATTACAAAACAATAAACCATGCCTGCAATTAATGTATTTCCCAAAAATTCTGAAAATTTGATATGAGCTTAAAATTGAATATTTTAAAAGGAACATGCTCATTCAGTAAATCAGACTTCGAGATTATCAGTCACATGATTTTTTTGTTCTCCTCTCCTGGTTTTTATAGATTTATTTATTTTTAGTTAAGAAGTGTATAAATGTGCTTGTATACCCCAAGGTACCTACATATCCCTTCATATGTAGGTGCAGGGTATGATTGAAAGTACCGGTATAACTTTAGACTGGTAATTTCAAGGTATTGCTCCCCTATATAGATAGGCATTGGCAAACTTTAGTTCAATTAAGTCAGACTTCTCTATTCTTAATTGAATCATAGTATATAAAAGTAAATCAGAGATATCAGATAGTCATTGTAAAGGGTATCTCATAAATAAAATTAGTCACAAATTGAAAGGGAGATACAGACTGGCCTTTTCAAATTGCATTTACATGAAAATAATTGTTGCATAAAGTTTATTCACAGTAATTATTATTTGCTGAATATATTTTGCATTTGAACTAATCTGGAATTGTAGGTATAATGGGAAAGTGTGACCTAATGCACAATATATAGTACAAGGAGCCAGGAACTCTTGATTGATTTCTGATTCTACTTATACCACTGGCAGACTGTGTTACACTGGTTTTCTTGCTTAAACTCTATATCTTCCAATTTATGTGACACAATAATATTTACCTATTTCACATTTGTAATATGAGAATTATATACCTAACATTTATGTGGCACTTAATACTCTTCAGATGTTTTCATTAGAGTTTTTTGAAAGTGCCAGTTTAATATTACAGTGGAGAAGTCTGACCTAATAGACTGCATAAGCATGAAGCTGCATGTAGCATGAATTCCTTGAAGCTGAAAGATTTATGAGAGAAACTTTGTGATATCTGCTTACAGTCTAGGGACAGATATTCAAAAACCTTGAGCCTGAATTGATTCAATCTTAGCAGGTTAGTTTAACCTGCAGAAATTGAACCAATTTGCAAATGGATAGACATTCATTTTTAATTCTAGAAATTCAGGCACACGCCTGCAATGGCGCAGGTCAGAAGCCAGGGGGCACTAGAACATGCCCTCCCTTCCACAGGGAAGCTAAATTGGAGGGGGGGGGCAGGCTTGAGTGTAACTGAGGAGGGGTTTAAACCCGCACCATGGCCTTCAGCGTTCCGAAGGATGGGGGAAAAGGGAGCGTGGCCAGACAGCAGCATGGCCAGACCTCCGTGGTGGGGAAGGAGGAGGAGAATGAGAGCTCTGGCCGCTGGAGCAGCTCCCTGACAGTCAGGAGCAATCCGGGCACACAGCTCCTCTGCCCGGCCTCGGGGGACTCTTCCCCCTCTTGCTTCTCCCTTTCCTCCACCACCACAGGGCAGGGAGCGGGGCTGCAGGGTGGGGCGGGGAGCTCTGTGTGGTGCTGTCCAACTCCTGAGGGGGGACTCTTCCCCCTCCCACACCTTCCCCCCTAGCTGCAGGACAGAGAGGGGGGCTCTGTGCAGCACTGCCGACCCTGGAGCGGGACTTTTCCTGCTTCTTCTTCCTCCCTGCTATGGGGTGGGGAGGGGGGTTTCTGCACTGCTGGAGGGGGATTTTTCCCCCGCCCCCCTTCTGCTGCCACTGTGGGGTGGGAATGGGGGTTCTCTGTGGTGCTGCCCAGCACAGCCCAGCCTGAGTGCAGGGTGTGGCTGTCCATGAGCCGCAGCCACTGGGGATGGTTCTGTCCCCATGGCCAAGGCTGGGCCTGCCCAGCCCCAGCCAAGCCAGCCACATGGCTGTGCTGGCCCACTGGCATGGGGCCTTCTCCACCGGCTGCAGCTCAGTGACAGGGAAGCTGAGCCCTGTCAGTGAGAACAGCATGGCCTGGCACACACAGGTGGTGGTTGACTGGGCAGTGGGCTACCCAGGCCAGCTCGGAGGTGCTGCAAGGGCTCATGTGGGTAGGGAGGAGCTTTATTCTTCCTTGCATCCCTTCTGCACCTGGGGACCACAACTGGGGTCTGCCAGCCCCAGCTGCTCCCTCCGCTGCTTGCCACAGACAGGAAGACCCCAGCTGCAGTGGGGTGGGGAGGAGGGAAGAATTAACCCTCTCTCTGCCCACTTTGCCTTAACAGGGCCATGCTGAAATGTGTCTGGCCATGTCCCCACCTCTGCTCAGGCTAAAGAGCAGAGGGGTAGGGCTAGCCCTGCTCTCTGGAGTGGAGAGCACAGCCCAGCCCAGGGCTGCAGGACATGCTGGGATACTGAAGGACTTTGATTTAACTTAAACCAGGAAGGGGGTCTGGAACAGAAGTTGCATAAACCGGTTTGACCCAAATCAGTTAAGTCTGATATTACATTCAACCAGGTTTATCTTAAACCAGTTTTGGCCACTTTGAAACTGGTTTGTGTGCACTGAACTTATTATGTTCTCTTAAAGGTTTAAACCAATTTCTGATCACGTAAGCCAGTTTATGTATAACTTCTGTCCCTAGCGACAATATTTATGAAGTTTAATTCATCCATATATTATTTTCAGAGCACTACTACAGAAATAGAAATAAGAAAGAGGCGGTCTAGTTCCTATCAAGTATCAATGGATTTGCTGGAAGACCCTACTATAAGACAAAGAGCAATGAGTATAGCCAGCATACTCACAAACACAATGGAAGGTATGTAACAATTATTTTGTTACAAATGAACAAATACAAATACAAGTGAATTACTTTGTTTAATTTCAGACTCACTTGAGCTTGTAGCTCAAGAGAGAACGTATGTAGAGAAAAAACAAACAGTGTAAAAAATAAAACAAAAGATAGCTTAGGAAGTGAATATTATGAAAATTGGGTAAAGGAAAACTAGTAAGAGAAATGAGGAAAGAGAAAATTCCTAATTTGGAAATGGTTCAAGAGTATCAGTTCTATGCTGTTCAGACCCTTCTGACAATCTTGTTAGTGGGAAGTGTCTATCCTAGTTATATAACAGAAACTTAATGTTAACTAGAAAACATTAATTTGCATTAAGTAAATGTATTCTTGAAAGTAGAAGGCATGGATTTAGCCAATGAGAAGCAATTGTAAGTGAAATGCTTTCCATAATTACCTATCCTGTGAAGTGAATGTGCCCTTTATTTTTTACACAAGATGTTTTATAGGTTTCTGATTCATTACAGTGTTGATGTCATTCTCGTTATAATTTAGGTCCAAGAATCAAAGTACCTTTGAAAATAAGGTAATCAAGTAATAAAATAGAAATAAAAATCAAATGGAACCTTTTTCAAGATAAAATATTGTTACCATGTTTTCTTCATCTTCCTATACTTTTCTTGCATTTTAGCACTATGTTCACCTGCACAAATATACTCCCATACTCAAAATCTAACGTGGATCCCATAAGTTGTTTCTAAGGACCCTGGTGCATGGGACATTTAGCATGTGTTTTATTTAGAACATAGTAAGCATTACCATGTTGCATTATAAGTTAGAATGTGTTTTAAGCAGTTGCATGGTAATGCTTACTAAGATCTTAGCCTACCTTGGAAAGGGCTGGAGTCAGCTGTTACTCACCGTCCCTTCTCCCCACATCCCCCCACTGGCACTGACTAGAGCTGGTTCCTCACCCCTGCATCACACTAGAGCTGGTTCTAGACTTCTGTGTGGTGCAGGGTTGGGACTGATAGTCAGATGATCCATCCCAGCCCTAGTATTACACTGGAGCTAGTTCAAGACTCTGGTATGGTGCTGGGCCCAGGATCGATAATCACCTGATTGTCAGTACCAGCACCCACACTGCACCGGGACCGGTTCAAGACTCTGCTGTGCGGGTAGAATCGACAATCAGTTGATTGTGGTGCCAGCCAACCCCCCACTGCACTGGAGTTTTGAACTCGTTTATCTCTGGGGAGCAGCCCAACGGTGGCTGATCATGTGTTATTTAAGATGACCTGGAGGTACTCCTCCCATGAAAAGTTGGAAATTATGTTACAATATGATTACACTTAGCATGTGTTTTACTACTTCAATGTGTAGACATTCACATTTTAAGTGCAGCTCACACGTCCTACCTGTAACATATGATATGGTCTTTAGACCAACTGTCTCTGTCTTTTATTTCCCAACACTTCAACATGCAATATTGCTACTTATATCACTGCTTCTCTGTCACTCATGTGTTTGACTGATAAGAATGACTTTTCCCATGAAAAGTTTTCAAGACTTAAAAATATTTATACATCTTGACAGTTTTTAATGGCATTTCTCCACTTTTCAACCTTAGAGATTTAAAATAAAAGTAAAATAAATAAATATTTTCTTCAGTTTGTCTTTACATTTTTTTTTGTACTCCAGAACTTGAAGAATCCAGGCAAAAATGCCCACCCTGCTGGTATAAATTTGCCAACACTTTCTTGATTTGGGACTGCTGGGAACCTTGGTTAAATGTAAAGCGCATTGTTAATGTTATTGTCATGGATCCATTTGTTGATCTTGCTATTACCGTCTGCATCATTTTAAACACACTCTTTATGGCCATGGAACATTATCCAATGACTGTACAATTTCATGATGTGCTTGTAGTGGGAAACCTGGTAAGTGTATCTTATTACATGTCAGATATGTGAATACAATTTCTCTAAAATATTTTTTTTTATTTTAGTGTTCTGCAAAACATTTTAAATTATAGTATTACTCTGAAAAAATATTACAAGTAGTATTTTGAGATTTAACCTGCAAGATGCTCATTTCTTCCCCCCATATATCTGTGTCACTGGAAGTATTTGGATTTCTCATAAAAGACAGTTTCTCTGCCCCCTCATAGGCTTTCACAAAGTGCCAAGATAGCTCACATAGGAAGAAAAGGAATCTAGAACTATGTATAGTAAAAGATTTGTTAACCGGCACCCGTGGGGAATGGGGGGTGCCAGATAACAAAATATGCAGGTTATTTGAGAGGCTCGAACAGGCTTTTGTGCCACTGCTTCTTCCGCCACGTCCGGGGCGTAACTGCCCCTCCCGCCGCATCACAGACCCAGTTAATAGAGCATGCTGGCTTGTAAGGTGCTGGTTAAGGCAGTTGTTACTGTATATGACTAATTTGAAAAAGATCAGACCAGCCACTCAAATCATTTCAAGCAATCCTAGGTTCTTTACATGACTAAATGTCAAAATGAACAAGGAATAAACCATTTTAACTCAGGATAGAGTTCACAGTGGAAGTATTAGACTCCAAATTCACAGGAAGAATTCCAAACAGTAACAGATATCATCAGTCAAGTTTTAGCCCACCCAAAAACACCAGAGAAGATGTGTCTCAGATTTGCTGGACATGAGACCTCATCATATGCATTATAGCTTGACATAATCAATCTATGCAGATGTGTGGTTGAATGGCGTGTTTAACCAGCATGGATATTATGGTTATTTTCCCAAACTAAGTCTTGTTATTCTGATAGAATAAACTTCTTCAGGCAGACACTTCTTCAAAACCTCTTCTGACCAGAACTTTGGTGGTCAACATGTCTGCTCAGGAAATTAACATTCACCTGGATTACATGGTAGGGGCTGAAGTCTCTTCAGGAGACTTATTTGTCCATAAGCATCATAGATACTAGAACGCCCTATTTGGCCTGTACACCTATCCTGCCTTCCCTTCAAGGATAAACTATTCAAATACTGACTGACAATCATGTAACAGACCGACAAGGTGGGTGAGAGAAAGATCCTGTCCATTGTGTTATAAAACTATCTTTGGGAATGAATAGCAGCTTTGCATATCCCTGGGTGGCAAACCACCTTGATCGACGACTTTAGCATGAAGTTTTCCAGCAATGCTAAATAATGTGTCAAAGACTTGTTTTTACATAATATATTTTGCAAATGGGTAGGTGTATCATACCCAGTAACGTAGCCAGGAATTTTGGCATCTGAGGCAAGCCTGCAGCAGCAGCCTGCTCTTGCCCTGCACACAGATTGGGGGGGGGGGGGGGGGGGGGGGGACAGCCCCCCCCACCATGCTTGCCTGGGGGTGCATGCAGTGGCAGGAGCTGCCCCACCTCCCCATGCCCCTCTCGACGAGCCTCTTGTGTCTCCGTCCCACGTCTTTCCCCAGCTGGGCAGCATTTGCCTCAGTCCCAGCCCCTCTCCTCTTTCACCAGGAGGCCTCAATCTGTTCCCCCATACTCCTTCCCCCTCTCCCACCCCCACCGGCAACAGACTCATCATCTGGATGCTGCTCTCCAAGCTTCCGAGCTGGACACATGTATGCTGTGGCTGTGTGCATGCATGTAACATTTTATCAACAACATTATCGGCCACATCAGCCAAAATTTTAAAAAATATTTATAACAAAATATCGACTGCAACTTACCTGTTGGTGCCCCTTTGCTTCATCAGCCGGGGCAGTCACCCTGCTCACCCCTCTCTTGCTACGGTACTGATCAGGCACAAAGGTAATCCTGTTCAGAACATACCACAAATTTTAGATAGTCTGTTCCAAAAGCTGCCTGGACGATCAAGATGTGAAGATGGCTAGATGGTGTAGTGTCAGACCTACAGAAATTAATGGTGGGCTACTGGAGGATGAAGGCACACAACAGATGGAAATGGATGAAGATAGTGGAGGCAGCCAAGCTTCTAGGGCTTATAGTATTATATCCCTGATGGATACATGACACTAGGCATGCTCCTTTTCCTGCAATCCTCATAACTATGGTCATCAGGAAAATGACACAAGGTACAGGATCATGAACATCCTGCAACACATCTCATGTACTTTCAGTACTTAGACCTGATGGTACTTATCAACATGACCCCTGATGAGTCTTCGTGGCATTGCTTAGCAGTCAAAACAAGGGTCAGACCAAAACCTGATACTTTTACATCAGATACCCTGAATGCTGGCTGGCTGAACAGAGCAGCTCAGCTGAGTTTCAGAATATTCTGATCCAAAGCAGAATAGCTTCAGCCAGTGACTTATGAAACGCACTGAGAATTTCAAGACCAGCTTCCTACACCAAAACCACCAGTTTCAACGATACTGGACAGTTTGCCAACTTGGCAGCAAACTGGGCTTTCCATCAATACAGTAAAAGTCCATCTGGTAACAATAGCTGCTTGCCACCTTCCTATCTCGGGTCATGTTTTGGCTGTACAGTGGCACAAATCGTGCAACACCTTGTGCATATTTTTCTCTCAATTCAGTAATTCCTCTCATTCCTCATATTTTTATATACTACTATTACTGTTAAAGGGTCCTTGCTTTGATCCCTCAGCAAGCTGCACCCCATACCACCTGTTGATGAAGACTCCGCTTTTGATGGCCATTATATTAACTAGAAGTTTAGCAAAAATTAAGGCCCCAGAATTTGTAGAAGTACAAGGTGGGCATGCCTACATGTGTAATTAATGCAAAGCAGTGAACTCCAGCACTTCATACCATGCTAGTGTTTATTGCTCCTGGGCGCCACATTTACACATGTACCTGGGACTGCAGCACATTGAGCTGGGTTGGAGCAGCCCCTCCTGGCAGGGGCTTGAGAGGGTTCAACCTGCCAGCACAGGGCTTCTTTGACCCGGCTCAGTGTGTTTCAGGGCAGTTGGCTGGGGCACAAGGGTGCTTCAATGTGGGTCAGAGCCAGCAGTATTTAATAAATAGCACTTGTTAGAATTTACAAGTACTAACCTAATGCGGAGTATTTAGTTTTCTTCATCCTAATAGCAACTGCACGTGTAGATGCTAAGATATTTACTGCAGAGTGAATTAGGCAACTCCACAGTAAACATCTTGTCTAGACACATACAGTTATTCTTAGACCTCACCCAAAGTTCCCACCTACTGTTATCTGAGAGTTTTATATAAACCAGTCCACACACATAACTGTTTTCTTTCTTAAAATTGAATCTAGTCAAGGTGAAGTTTCACAAACTCCTTATAATCACATTTTATCTAGACAAAATGAAATAAGTCAGGAACACACCAGGTTATTTGGCCTTTGCTGACTGGGGAGCAACATACATTGTTATGGAGGTTATTAAAATGGATTTTGACCTGCATAAGAATTTAAGAGCTACCTGGATCAATCACAGAGTTCATCATATTATGGTGCAGACAGCCTTTACTGCCTTACTGTTCCTATAAATGAACTACAATTATAGTAGCTCCATGGAATTCAATACATACATTTACCATTCACTAATGTACAGGGTTCTAAACTGCATGCCAGCTTTGGTCGGTAATAATGAATCAAGAATTCTTGCACTTGATTGCAGGCAAATAGACAGCTATTTGATTAATCACTAGAAATGGAGGAGTCCATGTAGTCAGTCATAAAAACAAGAGTAAATTTATCTTGCAGTTGTTACACTTATGAAAGAGTGATTCCCCAGATTCCTGCCACTACAAAATTCTACTCCTCTAGGGGAATAGAAAAACAGTTGTATTGATATCAGGTGATACTGATATAACAGATATGTCTGCATACTTCTGTAGCAATACAAGTGTAGTTACATTCTGCTACAATAAAGTTATTGTTTATCATTTAATTTATTTTTTGTCTTCTGATTTGATCTGCTGTTTTACAGCTGTATAAAAATACTAAATTATATTCTCCATTCAGGTTTTTACTGGAATCTTTACAGCAGAAATGGTTCTCAAGATAATTGCCATGGATCCCTATTATTATTTCCAAGTAGGCTGGAATATTTTTGATGGCATTATTGTTACTCTTAGTTTGGTGGAACTTTTTTTATCAAACGTGGATGGATTATCTGTTCTTCGATCATTCAGATTGGTAAATATAATAATACACAATGTAAACTAAATATACAGGTATTAGTACACTGTGCCTGTAATTCAAAATGTGTGTATTTACAGGAGTTCAGTTTCTTAGCCATTTCATTTCACATGTAATTTCTCTTAGATGATGGATGATGCCTCTCAGTAGAAATAGGTAATCCAAAAGTTATTTACATCATTACCACAAAACAGTTTATGCAATATTATGGTTTACAAACAGCTAAACAGTGATTCAGCTGGAAGCAATGTTAATTACAGTGTAATTCATGTTAGCATGGCTGCATAATGATCTTATTCTTTTGTAATTAATTCCAGCAAGCGTGTGTTGGGCAAAGATGTATTAAGAAAGGTTAAAGAGAGAAATTACAATCTTTATTTTTATGTTGTGTTGCTTATATCAAAATAATAGAACTCTTCAAAGACTGGGTTTCTTTGACAAGACTGGGTTTCTTTGTTGCTTCCCATCACAAAAATTAACAAAAGTTAGCATTAAGAAACATGTGTGAAATCGATTTTTTTTTTAGCCAGTGATAGTGAACAACAATGTGTTATGCCAAGGATTTTCAAAATAGCAGTTAAGTAGCTGAGACATAACTAACCAAGTGCTCCCTTTTCTCTTGAATTGTCACAATCTTCAGTATTTGGAAATAAAAATGTTTCATAAAATACTTTTCTTTCTTCTAGATCAGATGTTACAAAAGTCTCCAATTAAGTCATCTTCCCTCCCTCCCGAATCACAAATATTTGTAATTTTTTTTAAAACTGGCTTTTAATTCCAGATTTAGGGTCACGGAGGTCCTTTCTAATCAATTTTTCTTATTTGGACTTTTTTAAGGAAACTGATCTTCAACAGAAGCCTAATAGTTTGATATGTCCTGTTTCTTCTCCACTCCCTTCCCTACATATTTCTAAAGAGTCTGCATCATATTCAGTATTATAACATTATATCAAGTTATAATACTCCAATAATGTGAAGATAGAGTAGTAGATAGATGACCTGACTTTTCAGGTACTGCAGCAGACAGAACAATGACAGTCAATAGTATAATTTCTTCTGTTGCTGATCAGTAGAATGTTGCAAAATTCTGTGAGGCTTAATTGTTGATGAAAATTAGAAATGGGAAGAGTATCCATCAGTGGTGCTGTGGTATCAGTGGTGCTATTGATTTAAAACTAATAGAAGCCAGAAAAAATTCAAGTCAGAGCCTGCCTTCCTGCCTGCCTTCCTTCCTGTAATCAATTCATAGAATATGGTTCTAAAAGTATTTCAACAGTTTTTTTGTAATTACTGATATGGTCTCTTTACTCTTGCTTTTCAGCTGCGAGTTTTCAAATTGGCAAAATCTTGGCCAACACTAAATATGCTTATAAAGATTATTGGTAACTCAGTGGGGGCTCTTGGAAATTTGACCTTGGTGCTGGCCATCATTGTCTTCATTTTTGCTGTGGTTGGCATGCAGCTGTTCGGTAAAAGCTACATGGAATGTGTCTGCAAGATCTCTAAAGACTGTGTACTTCCACGCTGGCACATGTATGACTTCTACCATTCTTTCTTGATTGTATTCCGAGTGCTTTGTGGAGAATGGATAGAAACCATGTGGGACTGTATGGAGGTTGCAGGCCAAGCTATGTGCCTTATTGTTTTCATGATGGTCATGGTGATTGGAAACCTAGTGGTATGTAACCAGAACATTTCAAGAATTCATTTGGAGATAAGTGTAATAATAATAATAATAATAATAATAATAATTTTTAAGGTTTTGGTTTATTTTGGAAAGATCTTTGTATGATTCAACAGTCCTTATTTATATTGGGTCAGAAGTGTGCATTAGCTATTGTTGCCTGTTCTGTTCTCTGTAGGTTCTTTTGCCATGCACTTTCCTAAGTATTTGAGTGCTTTTCAGTAATGTGTTAACAATGCAACTAATAATATCCATCATGTATTTTTAATTTCATTTTCTGCTTGGGGACATTGGCATTTGGAATGAAATGGGTTTTTTAAATTATTTTTAGTTATATTCATGCATATGTTGATGAATTTTTGCTAAAAGAGGCACTGTCAAAACACAATTTTTGTACAAAACAGGAAGTGGTAGGTTTTTAATGAGAGTTCATTCCACAGTTTTTGGGCCAACTTCTGAGAAAGCTCTGTTTCATTGTAGTTCCAGTGGACTGGAGGAGCCAAGTGGCTTTGAGCTATTTCTCCAATGGTTGAAGACAGAATATATTTTCTGAACTCCTTTCTTCCTACTTGTATATTAGTCCAACATGATGTTATCAGGTTCTGCCAGTAAATTTAAATGTACAACTCCATTTTAAAATTTTCAAAAACAAGTTCCATCCTGGTCAACATTAATAAAGCATATATGATAAAACTATACAAGTAATTTGTTGTTATCATGGCTGACCTGAAAAAAGCGAGGAAGAGAGAAGAAAAAAAATCCTAGCTCTCTCTCTTCATTTTTAGGTACTCAACCTCTTTCTGGCCTTGCTGCTGAGCTCATTTAGCTCAGACAACCTTGCTGCTCCAGATGATGATAATGAAATGAACAACCTCCAGATTGCCGTGACAAGGATTCAGAAAGGAATAGATTATGTGAAAAGAGAAGTGTATGAATGCATCCAAAAAATTCTTTTCAGAAAACAACAAGCTCCAGATGAAGTAAGATCCATTGATCGGCTAACAGATAGGAAAGACGGTTGTATTTCAAACCATACTGTAGCTGAAATAAAGAAAGACTTGCGATATCGCAAAAATGAAAATGGAACTACTAGTGTTGTGCTTGGCAGTGATTATGCATCATTCATAAACAATCCAAGCCTTACTGTTACAGTACCAATTGCTGTTGGAGAATCTGATTTTGACCAGTTAAATACAGAAGAATTCAGCAGTGAGTCAGAGCTGGAGGAAGGCAAGGAGGTAGGAATTGAAAATATTTTTGGTTGTTCTGGGTTTTGATATCAATTTATGTTCTTTCAGAATATAGGATAAAAATATATGGTTGTGGCCTGTAATTGCAGGTATTCCTTGTTTCACAGAATTGAACTACTAGGAATTAAGTTACATATGTGTCAAAGTGAAAATTTGGAAATAGTGGAGCCAGTTACAATTTCATAAAAGTGGTCTAAGCCTTTAGTGTGTGTGTATTGAAATTAGTAATTTCTCCTGTCTTCTATACTGACACTTATGCAACCTAATATGTGTATGTACTCTATTTTGTATACATAAGAAATTGATCCTTTGTCCTAGCTGTATTATTTTTTTAATATTTTGACACTTTCCCTGAAGTAAGGATGAAATTCAATTAACACACTTAAAATTAATTTGAGCAGCGAGCAGGGAAAAGCCTGGGACTGTGCAGGCCAGGGTGGGGATTTAAACCCCTCCCTAATCAGAGGTCCTGCAGGGGCCTGGCCATGCCCCCCCTCCACCCCTCAGCTCAGCTTTGTGGAAGAGAAGGGTGGGCATGTGCCTGCATTTCTTCAGTCTAGAGGGAATGTCTGTGCAGTTTCAAGCCAGTTCAGTCTAGGAAGGGTAGACTAACCTGCAAAGATTGAGTCAATTTCAGCTCAGGCTATTTTTGAATGTCTGTCCCTAGCCATAGTATCTAATACTATTTTATAGAAAAAGAATAAGAATAGTATTTTAATTTGAACATCTCCAACAAAGCTTTAGAAACATATAATCAGAATGCTAAACCTAAAACATTTCTAACTTCTTACTGTCATCTGTAGAAGTTCTGAACTGACAAGCATAAATCTGACCTACTTTGGACCTGCTCAGATTGGACCTGCTTTAGGATTAATGCATTTTTGGATCAGGGATAAATTTAACCTACTGAAATTTCAGTTGAAATTATCTGTACTTCTTTAAAAAAGTTACCAACATTTATCGTCATCAAATTGTCACCAAATCAGACTTTACTTAAGACAAGTTAGAAGTCTTTATAGTTGTTTCTATTATCTTGTAATAGGTATACAGTGTTGGAATATTATTGTTTTCATTCAAATATTATTACCGGTCGTTTATAAAAAGATAATGTATTCCATGCATTTTATCCAGCTTGCAAACACTGCACACCATCTTAATCTCTCAGGCAACAGGCAAATGTGTATTTTGCAATTATTCGTCATGACATAAAGGATATAGACGGCTTTTAACCTTGCCATTACAAACTCATTCTTTAGGATACAAGGCCCCCACTTGACAAGCACCAAGTCACTACCTCCTTTAGAAGTTAACAGAAGATTTTTTAAAATATTCACAATAGCTTTTAATGTTTAATTGTGCTGTACTTTGTAAGTGCCTCTGATTTTTAACTGAACACATAAATTAACCAAGTGTGTAATTTATTAGTGATTTGAAGAATGGATGCTGGTTAGTTTACTAAGGGATTTGGATGGGGCATGATTAGGGGGTTTTTTTAGAAGTACTGTCGGTGCTTCCAAGTATTATGATTTTTTTTCCTGATATTTCTATTTGAATTTTTTTTACACCAAAGTGAAATGATGCATCCTGGGCAATGGAAGAAGACATTTTACTACTACTTATTTTGTATTTCATAACTGGAGTAATATATTCCATACCTGCTTACCTCTTACACTCAGGCTTGAACAAAAAGCCTATTCTGGAAGTGGTATTATCTACTTTTCTTTTCATTTCAAATTGTGGAAATGGGCTCAGGTGATCACCCTGGCCAAAGAGAGGTGCGAGACATCAGTTAGCAGAGTAAAAATACCTTTTATGCACAGTATTTTCAAAATCAGTAAATTTACTTTAGTTAGTTTTCTTTTTAATTGTCTAACTAAAAATAAATGACTTTTAGGTCATAAGATCCTGAAGTCCACGGTTTTTTCCCCAGAACTGTTGCTGGGCACATGGCCCAGGCTGGCTGGCTCCAGTCCAGGATCAGCCAGAAAGTAGAGAGGTTTGCTCCCTACCTCTTTTTTTGTCCTCCAACATTCCAGTGTCTGGGATGGAGATGGTTACATAGGTGATGGTCTGGTAGCTCCTGCCATCTGTGTATACCTATATGTTAGAGAAGTCCTTGGGATGCCTTTTCTGGTTTAAATGTTTTGTATAACAATGTGAGCTAGAAAGTAGACTTTGCACGTTAGAGCTCAAGGTTTTTATCTAGATATGAAATTTCCTTTTACAGTGTTGTATATGTTATATATAATTCAATTTTATATTACAGTACTTGAAACATTTTACTATCTAATGCATAATTAAAATGATAAATATAATGTAATGGAATTTGAATTTGTCCCATTATGTTTCACTGTTCTGTGTTCACTTCCTGCTTTGCTAGTAGACTAGGAATAATAATATAAAAAGATCTGGTCATTCAGAATGATAAATTTATAAGTTGTTACAATCATTGTATGGTTGTAGGTGTTTCACTATGTTAAAATATTCATTCCAAATCCAATATACATTTACAGCTTCAAATATTCTGCTAATCAAATCTCTTTTGATATGTCCATGGATATATAGGGGTTGAAGTCTTTAATCAACTGTTATATTTTGCAAATTTGTAACATAGCTAAAAAAATATTTTTAAAGCTTTAGGACACCATATTTTTGCTGTTTCCAGGGATGAAAAATAGAGGTATTGTATTTTGTACTTCATTTCCTACCATTTTTACTTCTCACAGGAGTAAAATCAAGCTGGATCAATCAAGAATGCAGCTCTGGTGCTTTTTAATCAGGCAGACCAACGTGTCAGCACTTTTACACAGGTTACCTAAACAAATCATACATATGTGATCACTTTTTAAATAAATATTGACTGGCCTGCATGCTAATCAGCTACAGTATATTCCTTCCCCATCCATTGCAGTACAATAGATACATGCACAGCTGCTCTGTAAGCAGTCATGTGACCTACATCACAGCATGTTCAGGGGGCAACCCCAACATGATTCTGTCTCTCCTTGTTACATCATCCTGGTATTTCTTGTATAGCACTTCAGTGATATGAGCTGCATGTTATATAGATGTTTTTAATTTGGATTATAAAGTGATAATTTTCAAGGTTAAAAGAAGCTATCAGAGGATCATTTTTTAAATTTACAGAGATGATCTATCTCTTGACTTTTTATATTCATTAGTAAGTTAAACCAAACATCCAACTATCTTGTAATTAAAAGTGTTACTTTCATAATGAACTCGATTGTATGGATGCTAAAATGTGTTAGGTTGAACTTTTGTTAGAAACTGTTGACTATTCCTTTAGTTCATTTTAAGTTTTAAGGTTAGGTTACAGTTTTTCCCTCAAATCTTGGCACTAAAGATCCCAACCCTGCAGATATCTCCCATCTGCTTAATAGTATGCATTTAGATAGTCCCATTGAAAGCAATAGCACACAGAGTAGGGAATGTGGATGTTTGAAAAATCAAGAGCTGTTAACTCCATCATAACATCCATAATAACTTTGTTCTTCATTGATTAAGTATGTTCCTGTGAACTTAGTCCAGTAGATTATTCAAATAGGCAGACATAAACATAATCCCAAACATAAAATTTTACATGGAGTATAAGGTGTAAAATAAAAATATAGAAATTCAGAGGTTGGCAACCTATGGCCTGCAGAGCCATTGGATCCAGCTGACAGACATGGGGCTCTAGCAGCAGGGAGCGTTGGCAGTAGTCACTTTTCCATGCCACCGCAGGAAGAAGTGGAAGCTGTGGGCCCTCTCCCTGTGCCTTCACAGGGAAAAGTGGCAGCAGAGGTTAGGACCTAGACCTAGCCACCTCTGGTCCAAACTGGGTTACTCGAGCCTACATCCTAAAAAGCCTGCTGACCACTGTCAGAATGGAAAAGCACTATTATCACAATGTAGAAATTAGAACAAAAAAGAAATACGTGAGATTCAGAGTTAAGATTGCAAACAAACATATAGGAGTTAGAAAAATAGAAGGTATTAGGTCAAAAGATGTAACACGCAGAAAATCTAGTGGAAATACTTAAAGGTTTTACCCAACTATTATTTAAGTTTTATCCTCATTAATATTCATCATAATGGTGGTAGAATGCAACTTGCTGTCAGTTGATGGAAACTGAAGTACTCCTTCTGCAAGTAACACGTCTGCTCATCTGGACTTTTGTACAATCCTGCATCACTTACATTGGGTGTAGGAAGATTCTCAGGTGTCTTTTGAGTACTCTTAATGGCATTGGGGTTCTGACTATCATCTAAAGAATTGTCATGACAAAATGATGTCCTGCCTTTTTAAGAAGTTTTTACAGAGGCAATGGAATAAGGTGGGGCAGAGTGTTTTATCCAACTTACCTTGAAGGGGATAAATTAAGTTCTTGTGCAGGTCATAAATGTAAGGCAATACATATTTATATATGTATTTATAAGTAAAATATTGTGTATATATTCAAAACTATAAATAAAGATAATATTTCATCCCATCAGTTGCAGGAAGGCACCTTAGAGATGATCATTTTGTTTGGTGTCCCATACAAGTACAACCAGAGTGAACAAAATGTAGATGTCCTGACATTTCTGGGCTTTGCCTTCACCTAGTTCTGGACTTGCAACTGGTGTTAGAGGTGGTTGGAGAACTGTACCACATTGTGCTTTTACTTAGATCTATATTACAAGGAAAACTCTTATACAGTACTTTGTAAATATAATGTAACACAAGAAATATAAAATAATTTCTACAGTTATCTACTATATGTTAAAGTTAAATACATATCATGTGAACACTGATGCTGAGATATTTTTGTGACTGCTCATCTTTTACTGAGCTGAAACTTTAGATCCATAGTCCCCAGCCTTGAATTCAGCAGTGTCTACCAGAGTTGCTTAATGAACAGCTCAGTTTCAGCGAAAAGAGGCTTTTTTTTGTTATAATAAGTTTTTGCTCATTGATATAATATGGTTATCCAAAATATCATGTTGTTTTTATGGGGTTTTTTTATGTTTTTCTTTTTAAAAATTTGATCCTTTGCTTTTGACAGCTTGATTTGTTTTATAATCCAGTTCACATGTGTTGTTTAGCCTGTCATTGCTGCAGCATTTTGCTATATAAATGTTATCCATGATGGAATGATGAAAGCAAAGTCCTAAGAAAATTGTATAATGCTGAAAGTGAGCATGTTCTTCAGTTTCCATAGAGTCAGCAAAAATATTTTATTGGTACTGTGGACTGAATTTACTTGAAATATTTTTGAAGTAATGCTTTTTGTGAAATTTAAAATTGGCATTTATCAACCTATTTATAATTTGGAGGCAGTACTCCACATAGTCTGATTACAAAAATAGTGAATAAGGAAATAACTGATTCAATTATATTAACAAAATTATTTCTGTACTGTGCGCTACAGAATTTGTCCTTTCTCTTTTTAAATTAAAAAAGACTTATTGGAATAGTGTCTCTAACTCATCTGCTGAAAGCAGCAGTATACAGAAAGTATCTCTTAATGTTGCAAGTGTGTTTTAGATATGATTGCTAGTATCATTTTCACGCAATTGAGTCTATGTTGTACAAATGTGCTTACATCATTCCTCCCCTACATTTGGCTCTGTATCAGTGAAGCCATTACTGATGTTGTACAGTACACGGTAATAACATTGTGACAGGTCAGAGAATGCAGTAATTAAAACTACTGTAATTTAATTTGGTACTCATACTTACCTAAAGTTAACTGTATAAAGCAATGCTGCTTTAAAATCTGGAGGATGAAGACTCTGATTATACTGCATATGTTGTCTTGCTGTGATTACAGGACAGCCAAATAAATTCATGTATGTCTGAATATGAGTTTTCTTTAGAACTACCATCATTGAGATCATTTAAACGTTCTAAGAAAATAAATATTTTATTACAAATGTGTTGACAGGATAGGTATGTGTACCAGAGTAAAAGGTAGTTTCTGAATGCACAGTATAATACATATGTGCATTGTCAACAGAGAATGCAAAATAATTGCCATTGAAGTGGAGTTACCATGCTTTTTTCTTTTTCTGAAATTTCAGAAGTCTACCAGTATTTTTTATGAAATATAATATGTGTTCAAGTGTCAATGATGATTGCAGTTTAAGAAGAGTTTTAAACAGAGATTTGTCAATTTATATTTTTCTACTCATACAAATCTTTCTGTGCAGCTTTCTGTTGGTCTGGTCATAACAGGAAAATGGATATGCCATTCACAGCATAATTTGAGTTATAGTTCAATACATCTATAAAGCAGTCATATAATATTATTGAACTTCATTTCAGTATTTTTGAAGTAGTTCATCTTAGTGGCTAAGTTATGTCGGCATGCCCAAAATATAGTTTACACTGAGGAATATGGTGCTGCTTTTACTATTTTGTTCTCATTTATATTGTAGCTAAAGCAAAATTAGCATAATATATGTATCTATATGATGGGCAAATCAATAGTAATTCTATCCCACTTATAAATTTTCTGTCAGATATGTAAAACTAGATAGCTACCTTGGGTATGGGTTAAAATGTTGAAGAAAAATTATCTATGTAATTTTGTATCTTTCTTTAAAAATGGCAGCTGATTAAAAATAAATCTTTAAAAAATATATACTGGATTTATAATTTTATCTTGATGGCTGTCAATTTGAAATAGTCTTTCTTCAGGATTTCACGTGTTCAGGTTGAAGAGTCTCATAATGAAAGTTGGAATCAGTTGTAGGATACTGAGGGGGTGCATCTACACATTCATTAATGCTCTGTGCATTAAGTACTAAATAACCAAGTACTAAATCAATGAGCAGTAACTGGTGCTAGTGCACATCGGTGCCGGCACGTGGATTTTTACAGACACTAACTGTGCAGTAACCTAATACTATTGCGCAGTAGTGTATTAGCATGGGTTTTGCCTGGCATGCTTCTGTGAAGTGTTATTAGGGTATGGTGCAGTTAGCATTTCATGTAGATGCACCCAGTGAGTTGAGTTGACTTAAAGTGGAATTGCACTATTTATTCCAAATGAGACACAATTGCAAATAAATAAAATACATATCAGGAAACCTATGTAATAAAAATCATAATTTGAGTAACACTAACTCCTTACTAATTTTACTCCAAACATTTAAAAAACCCATAAGTAAAATAACCCATTCTCACATATGCAAGTATGGAGATTCAGCATATACATACTTCAGGAGTGGTGAGTTAGCCACCAATACTTGCTGTTTGTTATTCTCTGAGCACAGTGTTGCATGCTTAATATTAATTGCAGTTCAAAATTAATATCTTGTTTAAAACTGAGACCATTATTGTGGGATTTTATTTACAGAAGTTAAACATTTCAAGCTCCTCTGAAGGAAGTACAATTGATCTTGTTCCTGCTGGAGAAGAAAAAGCAGAGGTTGAACCAGAACAAACATCAGAACCAAAAGCCTGTTTTACAGAAGGTATGAAAAAAATATTTGGTTTATCAGTTCACATTAGTACTGGCCACTATGTACATGGGCAGTACTTAAAATAGGTTGGGTTTCAAGGGATCATAGACACCTCTCCCAGAAGGAGAGAGCTTTGAGAAGGTGTGCTTGTTGGTGCAATAAAAGGTTCTGATCTTGCCCAAATGTAGAGGCCTATTTTATTTTACACACTGGAAATGCCCATTGTGACTCCTCAACATGCATAAAGTTGGCATATGCACATTATCTTTCAAGGATTAAAAGCTTAAGATTTAATATTATTTAACAAACAAGAGACCCTGTCCTGCAAACCATTACTCACACGTGTAGTTCCTGATTTAATTAAATTAGTCTTATGTATAAAGCCAGCAAGATCAATCTCTAACACAGCATTCTTTCAAAGGAGTTTTCCTGCACATATTGATGTCCTTTATTTGAGTTCTGCTGATTTCTGAGGGTCTCTGTATACTTTTGAGGCCTAATGAAATCTCAAAGTACATTAAATTATAACTAAAATGTATATTATTCCATAATTTTACCCTCCTTCTAATTTGTGCTTCCCATTTTTATTACTATATTTTCATTCTTTTATTGACTCCAGAATATTTTTAGCAGCCCAGGCACATATTTTCATTTGTTAGGTAGAAATGAAGTTTATGGAAAGTCCTGGCCCATCAACTTGGTCCATTATGAACATTTGAAAAAAAAATGCAAGGAATATATATAAAAAACATATTGCTTAATCATTTATGACATTTTCTTTGCAACTCTCAAAATTATGTATATTTTATAAAAACCTAGTTTAACAGGACATTAAGTTGCCTAAAATATTGTAGTTTGGGTGATGAAAAAAAATTTAAGCCAATAAGCCTTATTAGACTAAATTTTGGAAATGTGAGCATTCCAGAACTTTGAGATGCCAAAACAAGATTTTAGACATTTTATTTGTGTATGTCCTGATTTTACACTGTGGTTAGTAGCATACTAAACATGATCAACAAGACACAATTCATACATCCTGGCCGCAGTTTTCTAGAATTTTCAAAAGCATCTCTGATGAATATTTTTCATTGCTTCATTTTGGGAAGTTTTTGTACTTTGACTTGTCTACAAAATTTAAATAAACTTTCATATCAAGAACTTAAATATTTTAAAGCTCAATTTAAAGTCACTGTTGGCTCAGATGAGCTCTTTCGTCAGTCAGCCCGCTCACAAGAAAAAAAAGAATTATAGAATATAGCTTATGTTTTGCAACACTTTTAAAGTTCTTCATGAAATATGAAAACCCTTCAATCTTTCTGTAATTTCATTTTCTTTTATAAACATTTCCATATTATTTAAAAGCAATGCATGATTGTGCATTTCTGTCAGGGATGTAACCTAACAGTTATTCTTTAAGGTGCCACCTACCCTGCCTTATGCCCAACTTAAAACTGGAAAGTATATCCTCTTGGTCACTCCAGTAAAAGGTGAACACTATAGTATTTTTATCAGAGCTGATGAAATGTACTATAGCCTTTGTGTAATGTATCGCTATGGAGATATAATGACACTCCCAAGAGAATGAGGATGATACCTCTGAGTCTTATTTAATGTGTTCGGATTCTTTGTTATGTTTATGTTTGATAAATCTTTTCAAAGGAATGAGAGTGCTATTAGTCAGGTAGATGTGGAGGCTCTTGGGTGATTCTAGAGACTGAAAGTCGGTTGTGTGAATCCTTGAGGCCCCATAATGAGATCAGGAACTCTCCAAGGTTGGAATAACTCTATTTGGGGTTCTCTTGCAAAGCTGCATCTCAAAAAAAAAAAAGTTCACTTGTCTTCTAATTGGATTATATATTGGAGTGGGTGATATTTTCCCCTCATTTTACTCATTTGGGAAATTAGTATGCTTTCTTAAACCTTTCTTTGAAAAAAAGTAGTAAGAAAGATATAAATCTATCAACCTGTGTACAGGATAATTATAATTGTGAGTAGTGTAATATAATGTTTCACATATATAATTGTAAATTGTGTTATCTTATATATCACATATTATATACGTAAGAATTATAATTGTAGATTGAATTATAGTCATTAAATCCTGTGCAGTACTCTTTCCTTTAGTTTGGTATTGTAAACTTTCAATTTTTATTATTTATTGTTTATCTGTTATCTATAATTTAAATGCTGATGTCATGCTTATTATTTAAAGCATTCAGAGCAAAGACTCTTGTCCTGAAGAGTTTGCAATCTAAAAGACAAGTACAAATAAGGTGACACACACTGGGTGCTGACAGAAGGGATATCTGTCATGTGATTGGCTTCTTGAAAAGCACTCTACATTCATTGACTGACAGAAGTGTACAGCTTCAGAGCACTTTAAAAGTGCTTGATTGCATGACAAATTAACCCTCATTTAATGAGGGTTTAGATGAAGGTGCTCCAAGTGGAGCACCTTCATTAACTTGTGTTTGTCCCTGCACACAAGCATGTGACAAAGGCGCCTACTTGTGGCTGGTCACCATACTGGCTGCCCCTCCATCTAGGGGAGCCTGCCCAGTCTCACCTGCTGCAACTTGTTGGGATATAAATGATGTAATAAGAACCCTTTTTTAATGTCCTGATGCCAAGGGGTTTACACATAGCTCTGACCTTCCCTTACCATGCCCCATGCCCCATGCCTCACAGATGGCATCCAAATTATAGTTGCTCCAGCCAGAATCCAGGCCAAACTCTGCCCCTTGCTGGGCCTCTCACAATCTACTCATTCGCACTACCCCCTCTCACAAGGCCTCATTCACTCCGCCCCCTCTCACAGAGCCTCTTTCATACCGCCCTTCACTGGGCCACTCTCAATCTGCCCTGCTCCTTTGAGCGGCCTTTCGGCATCAGGCTTACCTACTTACACTCTGGGTGATCCCCCCACAGCCCTTCAGGTGCCTCATGCAGCCTACTCTATGGGTGACGGTCTGTATGCCTAACACTAGGCTGACTTTAGCCACAAGCCCATCTCCAAGCACTTGGCTTTTACTACTCTACTCATTCCCGCCCCTCTTCATGGAGCCACTCTCTACCCCCTCACTAGGGCCAACTCTGTGCCCACTTCCTGGGGCTTGGGGTCATATACCCCCAGGGTCCCAGGTACTTCTCCTTAAGCGTGCCTGGCCCCCTGTCTGTTCTATGACCCACTGAGTAGTGGGAGCAGGCATTATAAGGTGCCCCTACCCGTCTTTCACTGGGAAGGCAACTGGCCTGGCATTTCTGGGGAGCTACCCCACCACAGGCAGCCCCAGCAGGGTGCAGTTTCAAGCCATACCCAGGACGAGAAGCCTCCTACCAATGCATAGCTCCTGCCCTTACTTTCAAGGTGTTCCTGAGCAGCCGCTCAGCTGAACGTTGTTGTGCCAGCTACCAGCAGCAGACGGCTGTCTCAGCCCTGAGTGCCAGAGCTAAAATGGAGTCTGTACAGCTGTCTCCTGTCTCCTCCAATCACATGGCCCTCATCAGGTCATGTGACCTCATCATCAGGCCTGGCCTGCACCTGCTGGCTGCCCTGCTGCCACTCAAAGCCCTTAAAGTGATAGGCACCAAAGGTGCTCTGTCACAAAGCAGACCTGGGCTGATGCAACCCAGCCCCACTCTCAGTGCTGTCTGCAGGATGGGAAGGGGGTGGAGGAGGGGAAGGAGCTCCAGTCTGGGGTTTGCCCAGCCTACACTGGTGGGCAGGGCAGGTAGATGGGAGTCCCCCTCCAGCACAGGCTGGGCAAACCCAGACCAGAGCTCTCTCCCTGCCCCCTCCTCCTCCTATTGTGCAGACAGCACCAAAGCTGTGGGAGGTGGGGCTAGGGGACAGAGACAGCAGATATGCAGCCTCTCTTTACTGGATCAGCTCCAAAGTGGAGCTTGATTTCCTCTTCCCCCCAATCCCTGATCAAACACCAAACATCTGTTGTGTCAGAGGAGAGTCACTGTAAGTCATGGCGCTTTGTGTGAAACACCATAAGCTAAAGTGAATAGCTGCACATCTATCAGTGCCCACTGACTTATGTGACAGCTAGTTTAACTCTGGAGATTGTTCTCTCTCTCTTAATTCGGGTAATTTTGCATTAGAGAAAATTACCTAACCTAAGGCTAATGGTGGTTAGTATCTGTGTGGGCCTCATGAAGGAAGCAGATCTTTAGAATGAGAAGAATGTGAGGTCCTTGTAAAGTGGGATTAGTATTCTATGTTTAGGGGTCACATGGAAGAAAATTCAAGAGTTGAAAGGGGAGAAGTTACAGGCAAAGCTCTTGCTTTTAGTGGAGAGCAGGCATTGAAAGGAAATGCTAAGAAATAAATCCAAAATGGTATGGTGTAGGAAAGATGTAAAGAACCTTAAAGATGAGAACAAAGTGTTGGTAGTTAGGATCACAACAGTCAGCAGATGTATATTGAAAGGGCAGACATGTTTTTAGCAGCAGTATTCTGAATAAATTGAAGGAATCGAGGGGCATTTATATACGTATTTATAAAGGGGTGCTTTAATTAGAGCGGCTTTCTGAGAGTCACTCTGATTAAAGTGCCTAAAGCGTCTCCTGTATCAGTATCCCCAGGCTAAATATGGCAGTGGAGGTGCTTTAACTAAAGCTCATTGAACAAGCTTTAGGTAAAGCACCCCCACCACCATTTTTAAGGCTAGGGATGCTGATACATGAGACACTGGAATCTGCTGGAGCATGGTAATTATCACTCTCCAGCAAACTCAATTAATTGAGTCTGCTCCAACACGCTGTCATTTCAGCACGTCAGAGCAGCCTAGCTGCTCGTGTGTAGGCACCCAAAAAGTCCAGAAAGAGGGAGATGGCAGATCCTCCCAGTACGAAAACTGTCATCCTCTTGTCCCAGTACTCTCCTCCCACCCAAATGTTCCTAGTGCTGGAATCCACTTGCCTTCTTTCCCCTCCATAGCAAGAAAGCATATACGTATAATTTAAATGCTTACACTGTGCTTGTCGTTCAAAGCAGTCTCTGCCCGGAATAGCTTACATTTTAAAAGACAAGTGTAGCCTCAAGAAACTATTCATAGCATTCTCTATGTCTATGGCAGGAAAAAATTAATGTGATGAAGACTTACAAAGCACACACTTTTCTGCAATGTCATCATTTGTTAGGAAGGTGCCTATTAGGTTGGTTCCCACATATTTCTTTAGGTTACAAAGCTTCTGCTATATTACATGAGAGGGAGGAACAGATTTCTATCTGTATTTATTATTCTACTATGGTATTAAAGACTTTACTTAAGCTTTCCCCTTTACTTCATTGATGAATATGATAAGCTGCTATGCAGCAGAATGAAAAATATATTTCTAGATCATTTTGTTTCGATTAGCAGCTTCTTTTCTCATTCAACTCACCCTAGTATGTTTGTAATGACCAAAATACAAAAATGAGCCTTTTTTCCCCTAAATGGGATTTAGACATACTTTATTCTCTTCTCTCCTGGGCTCTCCTTCCCTTTTGTTCTTTCACAAGATCTGCCTTGCGAAACCCCAGCCCTGGCCCACTTCCAGCAGCTACTTCCTCTGCTGCTGCTATCTCATCATGGATCATTTCTAGCAAAATTCCCATGCCTTTTTGTCCGACTCATTATCTCCTTGTATTCTATTATCATCTTAGCTAAAGGTCTCCACTTCTGTAATTTAATATACTCCTAGGTTTGCAATTGCATCTGCCTTTTCAGCTTCCCCAACTAATTTCTCAAACTGCTCATTTATCTGTCTACACAGGGCACCACTGACTTCTTTGAAGATAATTTACAAAATATGATATGTCCAGTCTCCATCTCTCTTCACTTTCACATGGCTTCCCTTCTCCATAAAGAAAGTAGCCACCTATGAAGAGTATCAATGGTAGAAGTAGTTAAGGGTTGGAGCTGGAGGATAAGCAGGTCTGGAGGATCACAGATATTAGAATAGCAGGGGTATGGTATTGTGAGAAGGCTTTAGGGGGAAATTGAGATCCAAGGGCTTGAGGGAGAGCATTATTGGTTGTGAGCATTAAGCTTTTAAACGAGAAAAATAATATGGTTGTTTTGCCCAGAGTGTTAATACTGAAGGAGAAGGAGGTAAATGTGTGGCATAGAAAGTGCACATAATCCCTGGATTTGTTCAATAGACATTAAGTGAAGCAGGTACAAGATGAGAGTTAGTGTAGGAGGTAGGTGCCAATGAAATACATAGATGAAGGAGCAAAGGAGCCAAGAGTTGGAGAGTCAGTGGAGCTCAGGGGTGTGACTAGAGAATCAATGGAGTTGATAAAGGAGGAACATTGGGCTACACAGAAGTGAAAAATGATATTTGATAGGATGTCACGGAGGGGGCGGTAAGAGAACGAGGCAAAGTTGCATTAAGGAAATTTGACACTAAGGCAGAGTAATTGGTCAGTGAGATATTAATAAACTATACACAAAAACTAGTATTTAAAACACATTTTACAAAACTGAGTATTTGTTGCTTTCATCTCCAACTCAGAATTTTTCGGAAGGACTTTTATTCCATAAAAACTTTATCAAAGCCATAGATATGTGCTCCATTGCAGCAAGTACAAAGTAGGTTGGCCCATTCCACTGAAATTGTCTTAGTTAGTATTTAAAATGACTCAAACTTCACTTATATTCAATTTAATGAAAGGTCTTGCTTTAAACTATTTTTTTATGAGAGAGAAATTTTAGGTGTGAGCATTCTAAAATTAATTTAAATGTGACCGGTAGATTTCCTTTTTATGCAGCTGAGATTTTTCCGTTTTTATGCAGTTCAGATTTATGATTTACCGTATTAATTTGAATCCAAGACAAGTCCCACCCCTCCTCACATTTAACTTGAGGGGAAAAACAGCTCATTGTCTTAGATTTGAATATGAGGCAGTAGGGAGGAAGGCGCCTGAGCTCCAGTTCTGGCTTTGGCTCTGGCCCAGCTCCAGACTTAACTCTGACTCAGGATCAGGGCTAGAGCCATAGTTGATGCCTACCCTCCCCCATCCTCAGCCTTTGGAGTCTGGGCTGGGGCTACCACCACTGCAGCTGCTACCAAGCTGGGGCTAGGGTTGGGGCAAGCACGTTCTCCATGCCATGGGTGTGAACAGGGCTGGAGCCATGTCAGAGCTGGCACAAGGTTAAGTGACTGGAAGAGGGCAGGTAGGAGGAAGACAGGGAGTGGAGAGGGATGGGGGGGGGCAGGCAGCAGAGTGGGGCAAGTGTTGTGAGGGACAGGCAACAGGGGACAAGATGTGGGGATGCAAGGGACAAGGTTCAAACTACCCACTGCTTGCAGCCCTGCCTCCTCTGTCATGTGCCCCCTTACCTTCTGCCCCCCTGCCACTGCTTTCCCTGATGAAGAAAGTGGGAGGGGGCAAAAAAAGTGACCCTTGAATAAATGGATTCTATACATAGGAAATTATAACAAATTTATACATTTTTCATGTATAGAATCTGATTATTAGGGGGTCATTTTAAATTCAAGGTTATCTTGGATTCAGGATAATATGGTAGTTTTGTGTGTATCTAATCAGATTATTTTAGTGTGAATTTTCTGATAGCTCTTCTCCCAGAGGGTCCAGAGGAAGGCCATTCATATGGTTAAGGGCTTGCAGGCCAAGCCCTATGAGGAGAGACTAGGGCACCTGGACCTCTTCAGCTTCCACAAGCGAAGGTTGAGAGGTGACCTTGTGGCTGCCTATAAGTTCATCACGGGGGCACAGAAGGGAATTGGTGAGTATTTATTCACCAAGGCGCCCCCGGGGGTTACAAGAAATAATGGCCACAAGCTAGCAGAGAGCAGATTTAGACTAGACATTAGGAAGAACTTCTTCACAGTTCGAGTGGCCAAGGTCTGGAACGGGCTCCCAAGGGAGGTGGTGCTCTCCCCTACCCTGGGGGTCTTCAGGAGGAGGTTAGATAGGCATCTGGCTGGGGGCATCTGAACCCACTGGCTAGGGTCATCTGAACCCAGCACACTTTCCTGCCTAAGCAGGGGGTCGGACTCAATGTTCTGTTGAGGTCCCTTCCGACCCTAACATCTATGAATCTATGAACTGTGTGAACTCATGACAAAGGTGAAGGGGTTTTATCCCAGTTCACAAAAGAGAGAGGCATCTTAGTGTAATACTTGTTAATTTTAATGGCTGAAGAATTAATGAAACACTGGTTTACTGTTTCAGAATACCCAAAATTTTATCCCATATTGATTTGTAATAATTTATTGTCCTTGTTCTTAGGCTGTGTACGACGGTTCAAGTGCTGCCAAATCAACGTAGAAAGTGGGAAGACAAAAGTGTGGTGGAACTTTAGAAGAACCTGTTACAGGATAGTAGAACACAGCTGGTTTGAAAGCTTTATTGTTTTCATGATTCTTCTCAGCAGTGGTGCTCTGGTAAGTGAAATGGGTAAGATACATATTGTTTCTGAGGAGGACAGTATGTTCCATTTTTTCAGTTCATATAATTTTAAGTGTTTCTTTAATAAAATAAAAGTTTCACATTTTTGGAATGTTGGTCTGGGGTGAGCACTGTATGCAGTGCTTGGAACTGGTCCAAAGTACACGCTACCTGTGCACGGGATCCAGCATGCAAAGCCAGTCTCTGGGCCTGATTCAGTCTGTAGACCAATCCCAGGCCTGCAAGGCCTGAAGAGTTTGATATCCTTGCTGTAGAAGAAGCAGCATCAACAGTCAAGGATATTTTGTCAAACTAGTACGAGGCAGGTAAAATAAAAAGTTTGACTGAGATTTGGAGGGGGTAAAAGTATAAGAAATAGCTGAGAAGAATAGGACTTGTAAAATCCAAACATTAGGAGGAATGTTTCCATTTATGAGAGGTAGTCGTTCGATTGGAATGAAAGAGTGACAGGCAACACACTTAATTGGTGATTAAGTTAGCAAGACTGCAACAGGAACAACAATTTTATGGCCAATGCTTGCAGACTTAAAAAGAAATCTCTCAACAGTGGAAAGACCCTAAAGTTTGGATCGCTGTGAACTTCCAGACACTCTACTACAGACTTTTACTTCCAGCTTTTCTCCTAGGACAGCAGTTCCTGAGCTCTGACAGATTGTGCACCACCAATTTAAAACAATACAACCTTAAGTACCACTGACAGGTTGTCTGTGTACCACTGTTGGTACATGTACCACAGATTGGGAGCCAGTGTCCTAGGACATGACTCATGAAAATTTGAAATTCATGTTGCTAATGCAGCATCTCAAGATTTCATGAGCACTCATGTAAGGTTAAGTAACAGGACATAGATTAAATGAGAAGGGGTATTAACTTTCTGTTTGCCAGTTAATTAAATCCGGTACTGAGCTGCTGGATTCATGTAGGATGACACTTGTTATATAACAAGGTATATTTGTATAAGTGGTAGTTTTTAATGATAAGGGTAAATGTTATTCATATTTTAGCAGTGACCTTCCTATCTGCATTCGTAAGACAAATTACTGAGACACAGTTGTTCTAATTTCTTTGAACAGGTAGTACTTGAGTTTTCACTGTCAATCAAACATTCTACATTTATTTTTCACACATCTACATGCTGCAGCTGGTGAGGCACAATTCTCCAAACACATTTTTTAAAAGATAGTTTAGGTTTGTGCCAAAACCCTGCAAGGGACTATACATTTTTTAGTTTGACACTCTAAGCCTACTTGTTTTGAAAAAGGGACATGTAGAAACAGGTATCTGCTAATATTTCTTATAACTATAAATTGTTTGAGCTGATATCTGAAAATTAGAGATATTTGAATTAGCATTGGGCCAGCATATCATGTTCCATCGTACCACATACACTAGTTATCTAAGTTTTGACCTCTCAATATTGGCATCCAGACATTGTGTTGTTAAACTGTGAATTGGCCTGAGTGACACAAGTGTCTTTTTTTTTCTGTATGACAGTTGACCAAGCTTCTTATCAGCCATAGATTACTCCCAACATTGTTCAACAAAACTTTACATCTCCAGAATTTACTTGTAATCTATGCTATACTAAACACCATCTTTAGAAAAGAAACAGAAGAGAAAAGTAAAGTTTTTACCCTTTTCCTTTTCTTCTGGAGTCCAGACAGCCTACCTTATAACTTGCAAAAGCTTATAAAAACTTAACTGAATATGTTTATTGTTCACAGGCTTTTGAAGATATATATATTGAACAGCGCAAGACTATTAAGACTATACTGGAATATGCTGACAAAGTCTTCACTTACATCTTCATTCTAGAAATGGTCCTAAAATGGGTGGCCTATGGCTTTCAAGTGTATTTCACTAATGCCTGGTGCTGGCTGGACTTCCTGATCGTTGATGTATGTATCTTCTAAGTAACTGACTTCTGCTTTTATAGTAAGGAATAACTCATATTAGTTATAAGTATGATGAGGAAAGTGCTTTTCATTAAAAATCACTAATATTTCATAGATTTCATAGACATTAGGGCTGGAAGGGACCTCAGAAGATCATTGAGTCCAGCTGCCTGCCTCAGGGGCAGGAAGTCAGCTGGGGTCATAGGATCCCAGCAAGAAAAACATCCAGGTTTCCCTTGAAGGCGTTCAATGTAGGTGCTTGAACCACCTCCGGCGGCAGGCTATTCCAGACCTTGGGGGCTTGGACAGTAAAGAAGTTCTTCCTTATGTCCAGCCTGAAATGGTCTTTCAGGAGTTTATAACCATTCGACCTTGTAATCCCTTGGGCCACTCTGGTGAACAAACATTCCCCCAGGTCCTAGTGAACACCCCTTATAAACTTATAGGCAGCCATCAGATCACCCCTGAGCCTGCGCTTTTCCAGGCTGAAGAGTCCCATAGCCTTCAGCCTGTCATTGTAAGGTCTGTTTTCCTGACCTCAGATCATGCGTGTGGCTCTCCTCTGCACTCTCTCAAGCTTCTCCACATCCTTTTTGAATTGTGGAGCCCAAAACTGGATGCAGTACTCCAGCTGCAGCCTCACCAAGGCCGAGTACAAGGGGAGAATGACGTCCCGGGATTTGCTTGAGAAGCATCTATGGATGCAAGCCAGCATTTTACTCACTTTACTGGCTGCAGCATCACACTGCAGGCTCATATTCTTCTTGTGGTCAATCCTGACCCCCAAGTCACTCTCGTCTGTAGTGCTAGTCAGTGTAGCACGGCTGCCGAGCCTATAAGCCTGCTGCAGGG